CAGATGTTTCCTCAGATGTTTCTTCAGGATTCAACAGAGGGGAGGTGAGTAGACGTTTCCCATTCAGGTATCTGAATGATGACAGAAAAGAGGATTGGTAGTGGGAAGGGGCAAGGGAAGAAAACAGTAGAGATTAGTCTCTCCAGTTTAATGGCTCCCTGAATCTGTGGTGTGTATCAGAATCATTGAGCTTCCTGTTCACATTTCAGACTTCTGAGCCCTACCACACAACCCACTAAATTAGAATCTTCAATAGGTACTCGTGAGCAAGCATTTTAATAAGCATCCTGAAGGAATTCTAATGCAGGTGATCTCTGAATCACATTCTGAGAAGCTTTTTAGAAAGGAGGTCACCAGGTAAGCTGTATCCCCCAGGGGACTTCCACCAGCGTTCTACAATTTATGACCGTCTCACTTTACCCGAGCCACACATTTGCCTTCACTTGTTTGGCAGTCAATCAGCTGACATTGCAGTGGTTCTCTTTACACAGAAGTCCATCTGGTCCCCAGTGTCTGAGGGTGGAGGAATTCAGCTTAAAGACAACAATAATAAAAAGCAAAATCAACAGCCCAGGGAGGTTCCTCCCAGTGAGGTAAAAGTGGGACTGTGCACACATCCTCACTCCACAGCAGGTGTCTGCATAACGATTCTGAAAACAAATTTCTCCTTGTTGATTCTCAGACTTGGAAACTCATTTGCCCTAATATACACCTGATGAGGAGTGAGACTGTCCTCAGCATCAGATTTCACAAGACCCATGTACAACCATACTGAGGAGGGCTTCGGGTCAAATTTGCTTTGTCTCTGTCTCAACCTTTTCTATCAGCCCATGTCACATGCTCAATAAGTTGAGGCCTACAAATAGCCCTGGATTGGGTCCACCCCTTTCCCCATAACTGCATGTTTGATGGTGCTGCTCTAACTATGAAATTTGGAGCCTTAGAAAAATCAACAAGCCTAGGACTAGGGTAAAGAGAGAAAGAGGTGTGTAGGGCACAAAATATAAGGCAGCTTTTACTCTCAGTCACAAGATGCCCAAAAGCATCTCACCAGCCTGATTCTAGACCAGCCCTGTGAGCAAACCTTAGCAAAGTAAAAGGCCTCTAAAGGAGTGACAAAGAAGAGGTTGAGGAAAGAGAGGTTTGCACAAGTAACTGCAAAGGGCTTCATGGGGAGAGATTAAAGTAGGTTTATTCAATATTATTCCAGAAAACAACATTTGGACCAATCAAGTGGACCAATTTGAACTTTTAAAAATAAAATTGCTATTGTTATCACTAAGTGATTTTCACTGTCATACATCTTCACAACTCTGAGAACCTATGTTATCATTTCCATTATGCATTCTAATTCTCAGGAAACTGAGAATTAGGCCAAGTGACTGATTTAAGGTCACAGAGCTGCTAAAGTGACAAGACAAGAAATCAAGGCAAGGCTGATGGCTGTGAAACCCAGACTTTTAACTATAACATCAAGTGACTTTCCATCGAATTATAAAAACTGTATCGGGATATTATATTTTAGCAAAATCTGTGTGTGGCCCTATATCAGAGACAGTATTTTTAAAAGATCTCAAAAAGGCATTAGAACAGTGGTATGTTCCCAAAACAATGTGGCAAGGGGGGTTTGCGGTGTGCTTAGATATTAATACTCTTCAACTTCTGAGGCCACCAGCCTGGGTCATCAAGAGACCGTTGGCTTGCCTTATCTCAGGGAAGCTTACAAATATTCATTGCCCATAGGTACCACAATATAAAAAAGGATCAGGAATCATTTGGGAGAAAAGACAGCTGAGTTTTCTACCTCATGATTGACATTACTATAGATTGGCTGTAGGCAAATTTTAAAAACTGGATGGCTACATCAGGCATTCCAAGCATTTATATCAGAAACCATAGGGGCCACGTATCCACAACACTTTAATAGACACACAGAATTAAAAACTGTCCAGGAGATAGTGCTCAGAAGTAATTAAGTGATGTATAAATTTGCTTTTATGCAAAGCAGGCCACTAGCTATAAAGCAGTAGCTATATCATAGTAATCCAAATAAATTGCATTTTTAAAAGTCTCTGGCCTCCTAAAGCTTTAACTAAATTATAAATCTGCCCCTAAATGTTACTCTTCTAGACCAAAAGGACCTTGAATAACATGATAGCATGGACAGTTTGGTTGGGCAGACGAAGATTCTGTTTGGTAGATGACGATGGTCCGCCTAAAGAAGTTTAAGATGAAGAGAACGAGCACTCCTCCACTACCTTGCTACAAGTTACGTTGCAACCAAGTTCCAAATTAAATTTTGCATCTACATTACTAAACAAACATACAGTGACAAGCAGGCAAAAAAAAAATCTGTTCTGTGCGCTCAGTGCAGTTCTTTCAGGTGCTCCCATATACCTTTGAAAGGCTGACTGAGGCAAACAGTGATATTCTCTGGAATGTGCTGTGCCTTATGGGAGTGCCCTTAATCAGAAATCCACCTGAACCTATGACCAGACATAGCACTGATTTAAGATCAAGCCTCAGATACCACGCTAATATTGCTATGTACCTGGTAGATTCTTACCGCTTGGTCATACATAGGGAGTATTTCCAAACTGTTTTAGACAACCCACATATTTAGAACACTATTTCACCAATGAGATCCATCTTCTGATATTTATTATGCTAATTTAAAAGCTACTCATTTTACCAGTAAAACTCCTTTCAGACATTCAGAATGCTGTCAAAGTTTCTATTACAGAGAAATAGACCATTGAAGAACTTGCAGTGTCCAAGAGTGTGGTTCTTTATGACATAAAGCTAGCTTGCCACTCAACTAGTATTCTTTACAACCTGTTAGCTGACAAACCATCTCTAGAAGTAAAACTTCAGCTGCACACATAATATGTCATTCTGATTATAATGTAAATCATAACCCTTCTAACAGTGGCATTGTATTGCACAGGGACCAGTTAGTACTGAGTATTGGGGGCACTATTTTAGCGCGTGTGAAAATATTCTTAGTGGTTAATGGAAAACAGTAACTATGTGAATTTGAAGTCATCTGGTTCATTTGGAAGATACAATTATATTGACAGTGCTCCTAAGGTAAGGCCTGTGGCTGAATTCTTTCTATAGTTTCTATTACAGTGGCCTCAAGCCAACCAGTCTCTGCTTACTGCGAGACCCACTGCAAAATTAGGCTTCGGGGAACACCAGTGAAACCCCCAAAGATAAATGACAATGAATAAATGAATTTTCTAACACCGAGTGGTTATTCAGTCTTTGATATTTGCATCTGTAACTTCTCTGGTTTAAGGAAGTTAGATTGGTGTTCTTACTTAGCATTGTCTTTAAATTTTTGTCTTTATAAAGTCAGCTTATGGCATACTTTACTGCACTGCCAACTGGAGAACATTTCTGGAAAAAAATCAATAAAACCCAATATTATTTTATGTTTTACTCTATGAAATCAAATCTATAGCTTTACCAGTTGCTAGAAGCAGATGTTCGGTTTTTTTCATATCTTTAATCTAGTATTTACTGGGACAAAGCTATACACAGACCCAAATTGGTGACAAAGGGGAAAAAAATGCCTTGACGGACACTAAGCAAATATAAGAGTGCATATCAAGTTTAAGAGGAAGGGTGGAGTGACAGAATGGCCAGTGACTTTTAGCAAGCCATAATGGTATGGTCTCTATTTACAAATTGTCATTTAACAACCTCCCAAAATATTTTGAGACATAAGTAAAAATAGAAACCAATACTTAGCTCTAAAACAGACTAACATGTGGCCAAAAGCTACATGCAATAACAAAGAGAAATGAAACTTGGCCTTTTCATTGTCAGTAATAAGTTTGCATGAATGTATGTGACACACTCGCAAAAGGAGAGGCAAGGTTTTCAAGGTCAGCTCCATGAGACATCATGCCTTTCTGCAGTAAACAACAGCAGGATCATTTAGGGTAAGCTAAGTCTTCCAAGGCTTCATTCACTGTGACTAAAGAAGCTGGACCTGAGGATGCAAATATTAAGGTTTTGGTGGTAAGGAGAATCCTGTGTCACTATTTCTATTTCTGGGTCTGCCATCGACCTGGTATTATAAGAGCAAATCACTTCATCTTCTCACTGAATTTTTATGCGAGCCAGGGGTGCCATTTGGATCTACTCCTATAGAGAGAGTAGAATACTGAGAAACCAATTAACTCTGGCATAGAACAAAGGGTTCAAGGTGCACCAGAAGCACCAAGAATCATTAGTGTATCAAAGTCTCTTGTGTGTGCTAAAAGTCAGTGATAGGAAATTTAATATTTAATTCTCCTGACTTTTTTTTTTTTTTTTAAGATTTCAACAGCCAACTAAAGTTTTCAACAGCTGAGGAGCAAAATAAACCAGAACACTCTTCACTGGCCATTCACATGGAAGGTAAATGTGAGGTTTGATTTACAAACATACAGCAGAAAACTCATTACTTGGTACTGGAGTCAAAAGGGCTAGTGGTGAACCAGAAACCAAATCTAAAGGGGTGCCAGAAAACACAGTAATTAAGATAAATCACATTTAATGCAATATTTTAAAAATTCAAAATGAATACAAAAAATCCTGAACAAAATCTCACATTACAAAAGAATTTTAAGTAAAATGCCATATAGAATAATAGATGAGCTGGAGACAAAAGAAAAAGAACTAGTAATACTCATTCTGTCTTTACATTTAAAATGGTGATTTGGGGTTCATCATAAGCTTCTTAGAATCATTTTGTGTCATTTAAACATTACATAAAAATATATTTCATCTTGATTACTGAAATTTTGGGACTGGCTTACATTTTGCCAACCCTGTAAGTGCCTGGCTTAGGCTCACTCCAATCACCCAGCCCTAAGGTTAAGTACCAGTTCCTGTAGGAGCAAAGCCAGCCACCTGGGAGACCCGATGCTAAGGGCGCATTGTCCCAAGAGAAGGGCTAGAGGCAGGTGGGCAGGTGGGGCTCCGGCCCGAGGCGCGCCCCAGCCTACCTCGCTTATTCTGCGTGCCGTGCTTCTTGGCCAGGGCGAGTTCTTTCTGGATCCGATTCTCCAGGTACTCTTGTTTCTTGCCCAGCATTTCCTCAGTTTCCCGAAGTCGAGCCAGGGCCTCCTGGGGGCTGGGAGCAGCTCGGCTCTTAGAAGAGCCTCCCCCTTTGAAGAACTTGCCCAACTTGCTCATGGCTGTGGAGTTAGGGGCCGAGCGACCCCGGGGGCGTCTGCGGAGCTCCCCAGGCCGCACCTGGGGAACAGGTGAGCGAGATCCTCGCCCGCCCAGACGGAACAGGCGGCGCCCTTGGGGATCAACAAGTTGTCGGGGCAGGTGACACACACTCCTGGGCATTTCCTGGCCGCCTGCTCCGCCCCGCCCCTCGGCGCGGCTGCCCGGTGGGGAGGCGCCACCCGGACGTCTGGGAATTGAGGAAGAGCAGAGCAAAGTTGAGAGGAGCGACTGCTCCAACGTTGCTACTTTATCCACGCCACGGAGGCACCCAGGCATGGAAAAGTGGTCTGTGAAAGGCTCAGAGAATAGCAGTCCAGGGGTTCTGGTGCAGGGCCTGGTGCACGCCTGAAAGTCTGTGTGTACTAAGTGTGCTTTGCCTATGTGGCTATGCAAAATGCTTTATTCCATGCGTGTGTTTTGTGGGTGCGAGTGCGTAGTGTTCCCTATTCAGGCTTCTGTTCTTATGAATAGAATATTCAGATAATTCTTTCAAGTGTACGTCATGCAGATGAGTGTGTGTGGCTTCCAGGACTTTTGCCTACCCCTGTCAAGAAGGCATGTGGGCAAGTTAAAAGCAACTGGTCTGACTGGGCAGTCTCTGCATTACTGTGGTCTGAGCAGGCTGATGGGTGCCTACCTGACAGCTGGTCTGAGTAGCTCTAGATCATCTTTACATGGCTTCTGGTCAGTGGAAGATGCTAGCCATCTCATTTTCTAAGGTCAGGACTACTGAGTGTGTTTGGTGGTTGCATTGACTTCTATAATTAGGAATTTGAAGCTTTCAGTGTGATTGCCAGTGTATCAAAAACTTTTAATTGGGTTACCATTGTGTTTCAATGCCTTTATATAGACACCTAAGTACAAAAAGTAGAGAATAGCCTAGAGAAAAGAAACATTCTTTTGTTCATCTCATTATCTCAGTCCCATCTCTCACAGGGACAAGCAAAGACTTTATCTAGGTGAAAGGACAGAAATACATAATTATGGATGATTCAATGCAACTGAAAGCCTTTATTTTGAGCACACTACAAAGAGGTAGCATGTGGAATTTAGTCTGTGTTCTAGTTTTCAAAAACCAGCACAGTATGCTGCATAACACAGCCCTATTTGAGCAGCATTATCTAACATCATCAGAACCTATTTGTGACCATTAGCAAACCACTGCCACAGGGGAAAAGAGCATCCATTACTATCACAAATTTACCTTGATACCCAAGATCAATAACCCAATTTTGTCTGCCATCATAGAAAATTAATCCATTTTATCCAACATTGTTATGTCAACATCAAATTTTGCTAAAGGATTTGAACATTTTCATAGGAGACGTACCAGTATACATCACACATGTAAACTTACCATTTCCCAATAACCACAGTCAGCCACCTTCTATCCTTTCCTATTGGCTGTTGTTACAGTTTGAATATGAAATGTCCCCCAGAGGCTCATGTGTTAGAATGCTTGGTCCCCAGCTAACAACACTATTTTAGGGGGTTCTGGAAACTTTAAGAGGTGGAGGAAATAAGTCACTGGGGGTGAATCCTTGAGAGGCTTCTGCTCTCCCCTACCCCCCCAACTTCCGTCATCCTCTATTTTCTGGCTGCCATGATAAAACTGCTCTACTCAAAGACTGTCAAGGAATGCTGCTAGTATTCAGTACACTCCAGTCACCATGATGTTCTGCCCAAGCATGTGAGGGCCCTTCATGGGCTGTAACCTCTGAAATCATGAACTAAAATAAATCCTTCTTCCTTTACGTGATTTGTCAGGTATTTTGGTCGTAGCAAGGATAAAACTAATACACCTATACAAAGCATTTCACAGTCTTTAACACATATTTTGTTCTCATTTGGTATGTATTATAAACTGTAACAAATATTCTATTTTTTATTATCTAAAAATTTCATGGATCGCTTCTCGGCCTTTTGGCTAAGATCAAGTGTAGTATCTGTTCTTATCAGTTTAATATCTGATACGTCCTCTATCCGAGGACAATATATTGAATGGATTTTTGGAACAGGAGATGGAATAGGAACTTGCTCCGTCCACTGCACGCATCGGCCTGGTATTGCAGTGCCTCCAGGAACAGTGCACCAAAATAAATAAATTAATTAATTAAAACTTCATGAACATGTTTTGGAACTTGTTTTCGTGATTGCATTCTATCCTACTACAGTTCTCATTGTTGGGTCAGTTGATCCAACCTTTATTGAATGTGTTCTGTGTTTAAGGTGCAGGTAATACAAGCATCGTGTACCCTCTACCTTGCCATCTAGGGACAGTAGTAACAGTTAGCATCTTTTGAACACCTCCTGTGTGGCAAGCAGGCTACCTGTATTATCAATAATCTCCACATAGACTCTGCAAAATAGGTATTTCTATTTTTAATTTTAATGGATGGGTTTCTTTACTACTAATATTTTAATTAGTTTGTTTATAATTACATGAAGACATCGTTGCGAATCCAGTGCTAGGCTATGCTTTTCTGGATAAAAATAGTATTTCTATTTTTATTTGACAAATGAAGTACCTAAGGCTCAAATAGTAACTTGGCCAAATTTATGCAGGCAGTAAAAGTGGTAGAGACCTTTCTGTTTAAAAATCTGTGTTCTTGCTGAGCAGGCTTGTAATCCAGCTCTTGGGAGGCTGAAGCAAGAGGCTCATCAGTTTGAGGCCAACCAGGTCTACATAGCCAGTTCCAGGCTAGCCTTGATTACATAATAAGACCCTGTCTCGAAAGAAAAAAAAACAAACAAAAACCCTATGATTTTTCCACTAGGTATACAACCTTCTTTTCCTTGAGTTAGTCCAGAGAAGAAATTAAGTATTTGTTTAATTAACTAATGTGGGATAAAGAGGTTGTTATAAGGCATTAAATTTAATGAATCCTATAAGTATTAATGAACTCATGAAAGGGTCCACTTAAATAGGAGCTCATCCAGTACACTAAAACATTCTTTTTATGGGAATCTTATAAAAAAATCCTTTTATGAGGATCTTTTTTTATTTTTTGTGGCTTGCTAATTATATTTTTTTTTGAAAGAACTTTGAGCAAGTGGAACAGAGGGAATGAAAGCTATAATGAGTTGTGTGACCATCCATCCATCCATGTTTTCATTCATCAGGTACTTATTGAGCATCCCATGTTCCAGTATTGTGTTATTTGTAGAGGATATGATTAAGAACAAGATAGAAACAATTTTTATTCCAACAGAGTTTTCAGCTTAGGGAAGAACTTGGAAGTTAAAACAGATTATTACTCACATAAGGGGCTTTATAGGTAAAAGTTCTAACAAGGTCTAAGGAAAAGTATGGGAACTGTGAGAGTCAATAATAAAACTTGATCTTGCCTTGGGATCAAAGAAGAATAACCTGGGGGAAAAAAGATATTGAAGTTGCAATTTGGATGATAAGTAGAAGTTACCAAAGTTGCAAAACAGAAATTAGTGTTCCAGTACAAGAAATTGCTGCTTCCTTCCTCTCTTCTTCCCTCCCTCTCTCTCTCCCTCCCTACCTCCTTCCCTTCCTTCCTGACTTCTTTCCTTTATTAATCATTTTTTCTGAGTGTATTTTACACAGTCAACACAGTTTTAGATGTGAAGGTTCAGCAGTGAATAGAAAGACAAAAATCTATGCATTTTTGGAGACTACTTTCTAGGAAAATAATTCAGAAAATAATGTACTAAATGTAGTGTATGGAGGAATATTAGAGAATTTAAAATGTAAGCAATAAGTGCAAATATCTAAAGTCTGGAGTATTATGCTTTGAAGGAAGGGCAGTGTAGCTGGGATGTGGATGTAGAAGAAGAGGGTAGTGAAATTGCCTTCAATGGTAGGTAAGGTCCAGCTCACGTATGGTCCACACTAAAGAGTCCATATTTTATATGAAAAGAAAATGAAAACCAGAAGTTAAAATAAAGAATCCAGTCATTAACTTATAATTCAATGGAAAAAATATTTTATCCAAGTTAATGTGTGGCATTTTCAGAAGCACATGCAGTGTGCAAAGAAAGACAGATTTAAAATTAAAAATCATTCCCTTCCATTAATACAGGAATTCAGTGGGGGAAAAGATAATACTTGCCAGCAAGTAAACCATCCAAATACATATTAGTGTTAAATCCACCAGTGGTATGTAGAAAATAAATTTTTAAATCAATGATTTAGAAGTTGAAAATAACATTAATCTTCATTCAATAGTCGTCTTACAAATGTGGTCTCATAAAAAGTTCTCAGTGTCTAGTGTATTTTTCATTTTCTAATCTCAATTGATCTTGGCTAATAAGAGGGCTGTTGTTCAAAAGAATGATCTTGTTCAGGATGATTTAGCATGGTTAAGATGGCAAAGGAAATTGGAAATTTATAGATCTGTTAAAAAGACCTAGATGTCAGGCTAATTGATACATTTTGGCCGTCCCTTGAAATTGCATCCATTTTTAGAATGCCAAATGAGTTCTCTAAAGCAACAGAAGAAGAATTGCCCTTTAAACATACTGCAAAATAATCATGGAATAGTTATTTATTAAGCAGCTCAACAATCATGTACACATTGTTTTTCATCCCTAGTTCTCTTTGTTTCTTAGTATCAAATATGCATCATATGTAACACTCAATCACAATAATGAGTACAAAATAGTCATTATAAAAATAATGTCACCAAAATAAATGTTTGATTGCCCTAACTCATTATTGGAATGTGCCTGTGGCTGAGTTTTGCTTGTATATCTCTTTATCCTGTTTCTCATACTTTTGTCCATCCCTTAGCTAAAAAAAGTTAATGATTTTTTAGGTTTGACTGCAAGATATTTTCTATGCCAACCATTTAATGAATGTAAAATGAGATGTAGCCTGCCACCTCAATGTCACTGTTCTTACTAAACCTTAAAGTTGATTTTTTTCATACCTCCTTTTACCTCCAAAATTTCATTACACATTTGTATCATCACAAGATTTGTACCTAGCCAAGAAACACACAAACTCTCCCCAATTCTGCTCCTTTCCCTTTCAGTTAATAACCTCAGGCTTCCTTTTTCTCAGGCCAAAAATCTTGGAGTCATTCTTGACCCACATCCAATCCATCAGCAAACCAGGAGTTCTAACACACACAGAAGCCTGACA